TCCGCGCGCGTTGTTTGTCCGCGCCAAATATGCCCTTTTCGGGTATCGGCAAATGTGCGGCAAAGACCCATCGAGAGGGAGGGTTAGCTGGGCATACAGCTAGGGCAAGACTATAATGATTTACAGCCCTTAGTGTAGTTGTAGAATATACATTTCTATCATTCTCTGAAGCCTTTCGAGCCCTCTCGGGGCATCTGCGAGTCCCTGCCCAACAAATGGTCCCGCGAGAGGCCTTCCGGACCTACCCGAAAAGGGTATATTTGGCGCGAACAAACAACGCGCGCGGAAATGCGATGTTCAGTTTCTTATGCAAGGCACTGTAAAATGTCATGCACTTACGTGGACCCACCCTGACCCACCTCAGCTCAGCTGAGACGGTGTGCACATGTTTCTGGATCAGACAGAGAATGAGAACGTGGCAAGATATTGATACCCAAGTGTAATTTTGGTACACACAGCCGTCTGAGACCTGCGAATAATTTGCCGCACAAGAATCACAACGCATACGTATAGTAAACATGTCTGCGCCGACACGCAGCTGAATTCAAGGAGAGCTGAGACGCGTCTGGACTATTTTCCAGCAATCGGCGAAACGATAGAGAAGTTTGAGATTTTCCGCACTCAGCAGCCGCTCCACGGCTTACTTATTGGAGTAGGGTATCACCAATTTTGCTCCGCTAATAGAGCGTATTTGCAAGGCCCAAAAGTTTGCGGAGAGAGGCGCTCCACTTTTCTGAAGGACTCACGGATCAGCGCGGCACGCTCTCTCAGCGAAGTACGGCTGATTTTCGGTTTCCTCTAAATCGTGTCTAACTACCGCAAAAGTTGTACAAGGCGTATCGTAGGTATCCGTAGATGTTTGTTGAACAAGAATGAAGCTGAGTGAGCCAGAAATATGAGTTTTATAGATGACTTCGCGGCACGGGGTGGAGCAAGGGCTACCGATTTAGGTAGGCAACCCTCGGCTAAATCCTCTGGATCAGCAGCTCCAAATTTTGGATCAAAGGTCGTACTTTGGGCCTTGCAAATACGCTCTAATGCTGTGTCCTGATCAAAACAAGAGTGGTGAGTCGTGGTGCACTGTGGACCCGAGTGGGTTATAATTACCTTTCCGGGCTCGGCTGCCTGCGCGAAAAATTCTGAAAGTTCTCTATCGTTTCGCCGATTGCTGTCATCCTGTTGCGCACCCCACTCCTCCCAAATTCTAGCACTGCCAACAGCTCTGCACAGTGCACATGGATGCCTGACACGCAGTGGGAAAAGGTCTTATGGAAAAGTCAGCCTTTTCCTGACAACTACGTCCCGGACTCGTTCTTATCATCCTTGAGACGGAACGGTGAGCTGAATAGAATATAACTACTCGTCGTTCTGAACATTGCCCAGCCAACTTCAGGCCCTATTCGTATTGGTCATTAGTCTTAGCCTCATGCGCAATCGTCCAACAGCTCGCTGTCATATTCATCTTTCTGGCGATATTCGTGAATCTCAAGGAGCGTACACTCGATCCGAGGATTCTGGTTTGGCTTTCTATAGGAGCATTCATGCTAGGTGTGACGATATGGGAGAGGTTGGATTACCACAAGTTTGATTCTCTCAGTCGACGAAATGGTTGTAAGCTGTCTCCGACTCAGTCACTTGTATTCTAGTCTCATGTCTGCCGCGAGGTGCCAAAATTGCGAAGTCTTCAATACTGGTGTTCCTTGCTCTATTGGCACTGTCACCCGTTCTAAAAACTCTCACAGCGGCAACGTCGTCGGACTCCATTTGGGCTCTATCGTCATGTTTGTTCGTTCTCAACGTTGTGCTCGCCGACTACAGCCCGGCAGCGCCGCTTGGAATGGTGCGTGAAAGGTAAGCTCAGCCACACTCTCAAATCTGTGTCCTTTCATATCCCGATATCACAGATTAACGTCCGTGCTGTCTATGAATGCGGCTATCTCTTCATCAGTTGTCCTGGCTTCGCGGTTGTCCGACGATGCATCTGTGTTTGCACTCATGGTGTTCTCAGTCCAAGTATTCGCCCTGTTCCCCATTCTACGTCATAGGTTGCAGGTATGGATTCACGTTCTCTGGAGTATCCCCATTTATCTGAAGGTGTTTAGGCAACTCCTGCGGCAGTCCGAGTTGTAATAACCGCGCTCTTGGCAGGTTCAACCATCTTGCTCGCCTTGCCGTTATCCATTGTAGTCGCGGTCATACTATGTGCTACATTTATGTTTGTGACATTCATTGGACCCTGCGTCCTGTTCTGGTCCCAGAAATACAAGAAGTGGGTGTCGTCAATATCCGTTTCATACACGTCACTGACACGTGGAAATTACAGCGAAATCAGAGGCCCTTGGGATGTCGCTGTCCCCAAGGTTAATTAAAGTTCCAAGCCAATTGTATGAGGAACTGCCTTCGGGAAGCATTCAGTATGGCGATGGGCCCTCTGTCACCCTGGGCTGGTATGTGTTTCGTAGCCCTTGTTCTTCCTCAGCCTGCTGAGCCCGTGCGTCTTTCGTACTGGAAGACGGTACGCACTGCGGGAGGCCGCGTTTGATTCGGTTGGCAGCACACACTATCTCAATTTCTAGGCCCGATTCTCATTCCGATGAGGGAACGTATAAAGGGAACAGACAGGATGCAACCAATCGGGGGAGATAGATGCTTCTTCGCTGTAGCCGGTCCCGATTTCGGGACATCTCGACCTCTGCAATAACCAGGCTTCATCCTGCTTCATAGTAGCAACAGACATCTACAATCATTCACACGGTTATTTCAGGCTCCCCGCTGTTGCGATATCACTTTCGCGGCAACGCTGAGTGCACGGGTGTTCAATCGTGTTGATGCCAGCATGGTCTCGTGCAAGCCACGGCTTTTCTGCGATATCTAATCAGTCGTATAATAATATAGTTCAGCCGAGGGCGTGTTCTTCGATGTAGCCACAAAATGAAACGTGGCCTGTGATGAATCAAATACAGAGAAGCCTTGTGAGCTGCGGTAAATCCGTTGCCACAAAGCGTATGGCACCCAGCGGTATGACCCTGAGGGACCCGGGTGCGGGGTTCTTACGGAGCTGTGCTAAGATACTCCGTCGGACGGCCTCCCAATTGCAAGGCTCCCTAGCTTAGACGTCCAGCAGTAAAATATGTTCTGTACATGACCGGTGACCGTCTTTCTACTACTCCGTCGACGCCCCTCGTGGGCGTGCACAGGTACAATGAGGTACAACAAAGCGAGGATAGTATGTTACAAGTAGTATTAATACATCGACTATAAACACAGCAGCAAGACGCAGCAGAAAAAAAGATTCCATAGCGGGTACACGAAACCAAGTCCCCTTGCAAAATAAATGAGGAATCAGAGCATGAAATATACATACGACTACTCTAGGGCGTGCAGAGTCTGCGTGTCAACAAATGTGTTCATTAGGCGTCCTCATCGTCACTATGTAGCCGTGGGCGTTTGGAACCCGTACCAAGGCCCATACCAATTCCGCGAGCTTCCAAGACCATGGCAACCTTTGAAGCAGTCTCCGTAGTCTTCTTTGACCGAGTCCTGGTCCTTCGGAGCGCACCGAACGCCTGGGCCTTGATAACTGCCAGAGTGCCGGATATGGGAGGAGTGCCCGGTGAGGGAGAGCGTGATGCCCTAGAGAGCGTACCGCTACGGCGAGCACGGAGAGTTTGGTAAGGATCTGCGTCTCCATCACTGCTGCCTCGCTCGCGATAAGCGTCATGGTGATGATGATTTGGTAGCTGCGGTGTCGGAGCAACTAGAGGGCGTTCGGGCCCAGAGTTTGCACGACGGGCACCCAGTCTGTACCGAACACTATTGTTGCTTGAGAGAGATATGTCGGCCGTGCCACCGTGTAAAGTGACTTCCGGCCCATGGCCAATTGTCTGTCTCCTATAATCATACTCTCCTCGCTCCTGAGCGACGACATCGTTGGAAAGGTTGTACTGGAAAGAAGAGAGAGGAGGGGTCGTTGCGGTAGGGGAATGGGTTGGACTAGCCGAGAAAACGTATGGCGCGGCATCTAGAGCGCTGAGAGGAACTTTTTGGTCTTCAACACCCGGGAAACGGGATGAATAGGATATGCCCGAGGAAGTGAGAGTGGGCGACTCTGCAAACGCCGGAGAATGCGAAGAACTACCGCTCTCTTGCGGACCCGAGTCACCTCCTGACGAAGAAGCTTGAGACACGGCCTGAGGCCAGGAGCCATTCCGTGTCACTCCGTAGTACGAACCATACTTCGACGTCCGGCATCCGTTTGAGGCGTTGTCACCGTCCGTCCCAGGGTACATGAGTCCGGAGGATTGTTCACCGTACCCCTGGTAAGAACCGCCAGACATGGACGGATCCTCGTTGGAGTAATGTACATGTTCTTCGCCATACTGAGACATATGCGTTGTCGGGTTTATGTGCGGACCAGCAGTATTTGACGAGGGGAAAGGCACAGGAAACCCAGAGGAGAGAGGTGGCAGCTCCTCTGGGAGCGAGTCAGGACCCTGCCCCGCTCGCTTGCTCTGCCACAGAGCCCTCCAAAATTTATCGCGCTCCCGTACTTCATGGCGGAGGCGGGAGTTTTCATGCCTAAGCTCACTGACTTCCGCTCGGGCCTCCCGGCATGAGTCTTGAAGTTGGAGGACTACCGACTCTAGGCTAGTGACTAGGATTACGTGTATCTGCCATGAGCATTGAGTGACTCCACTTCACAAGGCATCACGAACCTGTTTCCTCAAGTGTAGCTATGTAGTTGGCGCGTCGAGCTCTGAATGCTGCCTGTGCATCGGCATTTTTCTTCTTTCTGAGCGCGACGTCCGACAAGCGTGGACCTGTGTCACCGTCCTCCAGTGAGGTCTTCAGTTGAGAGGAACTAGGCGGAGAGCTGGTAGACTTGGGCATCTGTAGGGTGGAAGCGCGGACAAGCGGCCAGAAAAAAGACCTAAAATTGCCTGTAAAAAGGAATTCGAATCAAGGGCACGAGGAAAGGGTCCGCGCCGTTCGAATCTTTAGCCGAACCTATCGCAGCGGGTGGGTCTAAAGCGACGAACAAGAGGATTTCGTGGTGCAGGACAGGGGAGGTCGTGTCAACGGTGGTTTCTGATCCTCAGCATTTTGGCTTTAGGGATGCAGAAAATATATTCCTTGACGAGAAGCCTGAGCAGCAAGTCGCCATGTTCCGTAATTGCATGTTCTCAATCCTTTCCTGCCGCAGAGAACCTTCGATCAGGGCCGACCTCCGGTTCGCAGGCCACACGGCCCCAATATACTGGGGAGCGCGATTCAAGGGCTGGGTCACAAATATACTCTAAATAGCCATGTGCTTCGGATTTCCTGATCATTTTCTCACTGGCATCACCCCCGAGCACCTTCATACCCAAATATGTCTTGGTCCATGTTCCTTCACCGTGCATCACTTCTTCGCAAATCATGAACGCCGTCTCAACATGCGCCAATCGCCGAGCGATTATTCCTCCGTCTCAGCCTCAATGGGCTCCGCCTCATCCGTCTCCTCGGGCTCTCCTTCCATATCCATCACTTCTACATTCAGCCCTGAATGGTCCAGGACGCAGGCCGTCCTGCGGCCAGCCCTACCGTTCACTGCAAGGGATATCTTTCCTTGTTTGCACCCCGCCAGTGCACGGCATCGCTTGATCGGCATGGGCACTGAACGGAGCTAATCAGCGCGCGAGGCACCAGCATCGAAAGACTCGTCAGCGAGGCATCTCGATTGAATGATCGTCCGAAAACAGAATACCGCACCTGTTTGTCTCTCCACTGCTGCAGGGCATCTACCATCAGATCTTCCCGGAGTGGGGCATTTACGTATCCATCGGGCTTTAGGTCTTGATAATCTACCCCGCTGTAGTTTACCAACGAGATAACAGCCGTATCTGCAACATCATATACTCAGTATTAGTAGCAAATCGTCAAATATCACAGTTGTTGTTCGAAACTCGCCCAAAGAACCGTGGCGATATACCACTACAAGATCTTCTTCGTCAAAAAACTCGAAGTCCAACACGGTTCCCCGCATCGCCCCTTCATCTTGGCTTTGACCTTCTCCCGGAACTAAGCACTCCAACATAGCAACCTCGACGTGGAGAGCTGTCTCTGAGACATCGTGCTTGTAGTGTGTTCGGGCTAGAAACACTGCCCCCCCACGAGTACCACCGGTTAGTATAAGGAAAGGGCATTCCGGCAAGACACTTACAGAAGCTCGTGTCGGCGATAGGAGGGGTTTGCATGGCCACGTAGTGAAGAAAGCCGCCCCCCTTTCCGGAACAATAAGGATTCAATATTCGAACTTCTTGACGCATCAGCACGACTCTTACCTTTTCCCTGCGCCGAATTGTACGCTCCCGCATGTGCACCACTTTAGGGAGTGTCGTTCGCACATCCTCTCTACTCGATGAATTTAGGCTATGTGAAATGGTTGCAGACTGGCCTGTTGCATACGCAGCACGCCAGAACAGCCGCTGACAGCGTACCGACAGATCCTCCACTAAAGAATCAAGATTCCTATCTAGGTGTGAGAGATCTTTATATTTCATGCCCTACCGTAACCTGGTTAGCAGGACAGTTCATACCGAGCGGCACGGTGGCAAATAGCTACCTGCTTCCAAGCCACCTGGCCGGGATCATCTATCACTCGCCGGGCTCTCTCCATAACCTCTTCCAGGTCATGGCTTCCAGGCGCAATGCCTAAGTCTTGGGAAGAAAATTGCGGCACGGGCCCCATAAACCACTTGTCGATAGGACTCACAACGAGGCCTGACATTAGGTAGTTGTTCACCTCGAGGAAATCATGCCGAGGTGGTGGGGCTGAATCGCCGCTCTGATTGATATGGTTGTTTTCTGTGAATGAATCAACATGGCGGTGCGACACGCAATAGACAAACAGCCCCAACCATGTCTGATCCACGCAATAAACTCTTTAAAGCGGCGGACTTCTCTTCGGGCCGTGGCAGTCAACCAAGCGCTACTGATAATTGCCCGAGCGGTCAGGTCGAGGATAGCCTCGACGTCTGACGTCTTGAAACCAAATAATCCGTACTGCTGAGGCCTTTCACTGATTGGGTGGACGCGGATGATGCGTAAAGTTGAGCTCACAGTAGAGACCAGCCATGAACCTCTTCCAATACCAGATGCAGCCGCTGGCATGCAGGAGCGAGCCTTTTTTCAGAGAAGTCGCGTAATTTGGTGAAGGAGTCAACAACGGTAGACTCCCACTTCTGCATACCCTACGAAGAGAAGTGACGTCAGAGATGTGGAAAGACTTCCTATCATATGGCACCACGCACTCTGTCGCTCATTTGTTCATTACTACCCAGAAAGTCGGCCAAGGCCTCTGAAGGCCTGCCTGTAGCAAGGAGGGCTGTGAGATCCAGTATAGCATTAGGCTCGTCTTCTAAACAGCGCAACAGTGAGCGCACATATGGAAATTTTTGGAAAACTCCTTACGGCCAAATTGTTCCTTCTGTCTGCTCTCGAGGGCTCTTATCCACTTTGGGCCTAATTCTCGGGCTCCGGCATGAGCATCTGAGCCAAACCAGGATTCCCGCATCTCCTTCACAGCACACTTGGCATACCAGACCAACTCTCGTGCTGCAGAAGATGCACTGGCAATGTCACGAGGATGACGAGTTTCTAGCAAAGGCAAATCGACCACCGTCGGCCGGAGGCGGGTTATTGGGCCAACATCTCGACGACGAGTCTCAAGATGAGCAAAGAATGTAGACCTTTGATGACCTTGCTCTAGTGACACGACAGAAAAGTCCCCGCCCATTGATACATGACCCAGAGGATAGGCTGCATCCAGATAATAGTGAATATGTCCTACGTCGTTCGCGACAGCAAGGATGCTGTCAATGTTAGCGTGGTCAACTTCGTCTAATTCTTCCCCGGGTCTGGACGATTGAGGACCAGCTTTTGCAGCGGACTGGATAGAAGCTAGTGAAAGGCTGGATGGTAACGTCGGCCAGGATGAAATGGTTTCGGGAAGTGTGGATTTCAGCTCGGTACGAGCGGGCCCGGTTTGAAACAGAAACGGGTTTGCTGTACTACGTGGCTTCGGTTTCAGCATCAGCAGATTCACTATCTTACTACTTACCGCAAGGCGCCATCATCCTGAGGAGGATCAAGGAGTGGAAACATCTTTAACACTGATTGGGACGATCCTGTCTTAGATTGAGTCAATAGCGTGCGCGGGTCATTCCAGTGCACACTGTCATGCATACAATAACGCCGTCTCTCTTGAATATATCTGGTATGGGTCCTTTTGTCTCGACCACCGGTTCTTTCCCGAACCACCAAATCCTCAGTAGCTGGAAAGAGTACGGAGCTAGCAGACCAGAGATATGTACTGGGAAGGATCGCTCGAGGTGACCATCATGGATCGAGTGAATGGTAATTCGTGGAGGATTATGGGCAAGGGCAATCGTCTGACCTAATTTCTAAAGGTTAAGAACGACCATATTATGTGCCGGGGAATCATACCGTCAGGCGCCCATGCGATATCCATAACTTGGTCGACCCTGTGTCCCATATCCACTTCGAGTTCCCATCTTTTTGCACCCTGAATCTTCCACAAGCTAATGATATCCTTATTGACATGCCTTGAAATCAGCAGCACGAGGTCTTTGTCAGGACAGCAGGAGGATGAAAGGATGCGGGACGGGGAGGATAGCCGTAAGATGGTCACAGGTGAGATACTTGCATCCATGTCGAATGCAAATAAGAATAGATTTGCTGGGGATCCAGAAAGTTCAGTGGCCGAGAAAGCAGGGATTTGCACGAGTAGAGTTGGCCTATGAATGAGCCACGTTCAAGATGCCACAACTTTATTCAAATTATTGTCGCCGCGCGTCCGTCACGTCACGGGCCCCGTACACAGCTGACACTGACACGGATCACAGGCCGGGCTTCTTAAGTAGCACGCTAGAAGGCCCGAAATGGCACTTTCGATAATATGACGGGAACAAGGAGGTAATGGTCGTATCAACATGACAATTCTTACCAGTCAGGAGGCCAATGTCCTGCAAGACGTTACTATAGCATTCCTATCTTGCTTTCCGCTTGCCCCCCTTCTTGGCTTTACCGCCAACTTGCACTCCCTTCTTCGCACGTACTCCTTCCCGTCTCGCCGATTGCCCCATCTCCGTACCAAAGGCGCTCTCACGTTTAGACAAAGAGGTCTTAGTCTTCGTCCTCTTTTTGTCCTTTGTCTTCTTAGCTCTAGACGGCCGGCGCTCAGGTTCACCTATCTTGGCCGGACGGGAGGACTTCTTGACCGCTCTGATAGCTGCGTCAATGGTTTTGCTATCACCGGCCTCTTTGTCCTCCTCCACGGCCATCTTATGTCTCTTAGCTCTCCGTGACAAGCCAGCGAATTTATCTCTCTTAGGCTGAGAGAGCCCGTGTCAGCGAGTATGCATCTACGGCAAATAACTGCGCCCACCTTTGTGCTATCGGACACATTTTTCACTCTTGCCGCACTCGAGGGACCTGCTTCGTGCAGCTTCTTGCTCAATTCTGCACATAAAGGTCAGGAAAAGACGACTCCAATCAAGCCTGATACATACCTGCCGATTTGGCCTTCTCTTTCTCAGACTGGAACCACGTTCTAGCCGGCCTAGAATAGATCTCTTCTTCATGCTCGATCATATTTTGACCCTTCTTCAACTCCATCTCCGCTCGGCGTAGCTGGCAAATGGTGAGAAACACTCTGGTGAACAACGGGTACAAGGTACCTCTTTTTCTTCTTTCTCCTCCTTGAGTATCTCGGCTACCTCATCCTTCAATTCTTCGAGCTCTTCCGCCCATTTTGTAACATCTTCAGCATCCAGTATCCGGTGTCGGACTTGGTCTGCTCCCGAACTATGCTTCATTACGGCTTTGAGCATTTTACGATCGCCTTCGCCCACCAAGCTCACAGATCTGAGCGGGTATAAATACGCAATACCCAGACGTCTCAGCAGCAAACATACCGTCCTCTTTTACCCGCCCTGGCAGTACGTCCGACACGGTGTAGATATTGGGCCAGGTCATTCGGCATATCATAGTTGACAACCGTGTTGACACCCTTGATGTCGAGACCACGCGAAGCCAGATCGGTGGCCATAAGATAGTCTACCTGGCCTTCACGGAACGCACGCAGTGCTTTAAGGCGCTGTGAAGAGATCGTGTCAGCAGGGTGTCCTTGCTACTCTCGATGACATACATACTTGTTCTTGGGTGAGGTCTCCGTGAAGCTCCTCGGCTGACATCCCTAAAAGCCCAAAGACAATTCGCATCTGATGGGCAAGCTTTTTGCTCCGAAAGAATACAATGACACCACTCTTGAATATCTTCTTGCAGCTGGTGACAAGAATAGCGGCCCGTTCGTCTTCCTTGCTGGCACGAACTCGAATGAATTCCTGTATGAGACCTTTTGCCGTCATTCGTTTCGGGTCCACGAACAGGCGAACAGGCTTGTTTAAGGACATTTTCACTAGTTCGTCTACGGAGTCCGTCATCGTCGCGGAGAATAACATAGTCTGCCTGGACGGTGGACAAGACTTGATAATTTCCGTTAACTCGTCGTGGAAACCCTCGGAGAGCATTCGGTCAGCTTCATCAAGCACCAGGATATCCAAGGCGTCCAACGTGAAAGATGGGGAATTTCGGATGTGATCAATGAGACGGCCAGGAGTAGCAATCACTACATCTGGCCTGTTTCGCAAGACTAATTCCTGAGCTTTGAGCGACAAACCACCTAACACAACAGATAAACTTCAGTGTCACAGAACTCTCCTGCTACTACGTACTGACCGACAACAAGACAGAACTGAACGTCTGTATGGGCAGCAAGTTTCGTCCCGACTTCGAAACACTGCGCCGCTAATTCCCGTGTGGGTACAAGGATGAGACATCGTGTTGCTGCGGCCTTTTTCCCGCGTTCTCGGTACAACAAACGTTCTAGCATGGGTATAATGAACGCAGCCGTTTTCCCCGAGCCGGTCACAGCGTTGCCAACAACATCCTTTCCTAACAAGCCCACGGGGATTGTAGCAGCCTGAATTGGAGTCGGAGTACTGAAGCCCATGTTAGTAAGAGCTTTTAGGATAGGTCTCGATAGGTTCATCGTAAGAAACGAAGAATGCGTTTCTGATGGTTCTGCCTCCGAGAAGAAGGCGGCCTTCCTATCCTTCTCAGCTTGCGTCTCTTCATCAAGACTGTCCGCGGATGACTCTCCATCCGAAGACCCTTCGGCCTCTTCGTCTTCGTGCTCGTCACTATGCTCATTATCTTCGTCAACATCTTCCTCGTCGGATGTAGCCAGGGGATCCTCTTCGCTATCAGAACGGGATGAAGCATCATTCGCATGTTCGCTGCCAGAATCATCGTCGCTCCGCTTGCGTTTCTTTGACAGGTTTTTTCTTCGCCGAGAGATTAAATGGTCGATAGACACGGGCTCCTTAACAGTGTTTCAAGTCTGTCAGCCAGGATCACGTTTCATGCGCATACCTTGACGCACCACTTTAGAACCGCTAGCCCCCAGTGAATGCTCTCCATCCCCAGGTAGCACTACATCATATACATCATCAGCAATATCGAAGGAGAATTCGGGGTTGAGCTGAGCGATCTCCGGGTCGGCATTTGGGGGTGAGTCCGTACTCCTTCCAGGACGGATGTCTCCTTCATCGTCAGAATCGAGGGTCATAACGAAATCGCCGGCCATGGTTAGCCTTGTAATACCCGTCACGAGCAGAAGGACAAAGGAGTTGTGGTGTACGGTGGTTAACCGCGCCTTGAGGATGGCCCGTGTATTCCCCCGCCACAGTCGCTACATTTTCTTAGTTTTTTACGTAAGTTAAGCTTCTCGGCCGATCACCTCTTAGTATGATCGAGATTCGCGGCAAGCTTCGGACAAGCGGAGAGGCGGAGAGTTGACAGTCGACTGCGTATACTCCTGTAGCAGATCCGGACACTATTCTCAAGAGACCGCAGGTGACCGCTATATTTCCGCACATATATCGGCACAGCGATGTCTTCGACTTATCTGATGTTTTCAGAGTGTAAGTATAATATAAAAGTCGAGGCATTAGAGCGAATATCATACGAAGTCATGTAGCACAGTGCGGGGGATAAGAAACACAATGTGAAGGGACATTAAGAACCGAAATCCAACACTGGTACGGTGTACATATAGTTGAGTCCGATTATAATCAATTACCAGAAAAAGATCTTCTTTATGAGCGTCGGATCCTTCGTCGACTGCGCATAATCACGGGACGTGGGCTTGGCTGCAGGAGCACCGTAGTTATCGTCTTGCCCGCCCCCCACGTCGGACACCGAGGCTAAACGTGCTTGCTGCATCTGAGGCGATCATTGATAAGCAAGGCAAATAGTTGAACAGGAGTGCATACCTCCTCGCCCATGATACAGTCCCTTAGTATCAAATCTGCGACGTTTGGTCGCTCAGGGAAGTCATAGTCGGTAGAGTTCCGACATTGGTCCTGACACTGAGTGATTGTGGAGATGAATTTACCCATGAGATTATATTTCCCCCAGTGTATTTTGGTGCCATCGTCCGGCTTGAAGTCAGGATTGCCTTCCTGCGTTCGGATCAGATCCGATATATGAACTTCCCTGACGTGATCTCAGGAGAGTCATGATATTAAGGGCACGCTTACACTTACAGAGCAGGTATGCAGGGACCTTTAGTGTTCCGGAGTGCCATACGATATGCGCGATGCGAACGGATGGATTGCAGCAAAACATCGTAGGACTGAAGTAGCTTGTGATTCTGCGCCGACTTTTCTTTGAACAGGCACATTGTCTCATCCCCCGGAAAGGTCGAGTTGTTGATGCCGGCGACAAATGCACGCAGCGCTGAATAGTTATTCATTCTGCGGAGATGAGAGGCCACGTCCACAAACTTGTCTATTTGCTTTGCGCGAGCTTTCGGCTTATCGTGACATAAAATAAGGGAGACAACCCTAGCGGAAGGTCAAGTCAGTACGGTGCAGACACTGAGTTCAAGCGATGTCACCTCACCAGTCGGCAAGATGGCTAGACACTTGGCTGAAACGGGCGATAGGATCGATGTCCGGTTCCTTGCGACCGGGGACGAGGACATGCTGAAGCCAGTGTCGAGGCTGGATAGTAGGACAATGCCTTCAGCCACAACGAATGAATTTGAAGTCGAAGCCTACCTTAATAGCGAGAAAGAGTCTCGCTTCCATCCTCGTGATCTCCTGAGCAATTTGCGCAGACTCGAGATTATTGACTTCGTGCACCATCTTCAGCAGCTCCTTCAAGAGCTGCTTGTGTGACATCTCAGACGGGTCTGTTTCGTTGGAATTGACTGATGGAGAGGATGTTTGTGCCACCAACGCTTTTGCAGTAAGCGGCAAGCTCGGCCTACGCTCACGAGGAGGGGCTTGTCCGCGAAACGAGTCAATACTGGCGGACTCGATTCTGGAGGTGGCACGAATCTCTGTCTCCACTTCATCGTCTCCGTGGTGACTCGAGGACGAGTCATCACTGATTTCGATAAAATCATTTGTCTTCAAAGCCCATGCGGCATCCCGATCCACCAGTGTTGGCAAAGCATCACGAAAAGGGAGGAAGTCAGAACCATAATGTAATAGGTACGTCTTGCCCAGAATGGAATTCAACACAGCGTTGAACGCCCCTTGTGTGCCTTTGACGGCAAAATCCCCAGGATATTCCCTTATCCATCTCTCCAGGAGATGGCATATTCTGATGGCTCTCAATGAATAGAATATTCCGTAAGGCAGGAGACAGCATACCTCATTTGCGCGAATGAGGCAAACATCGGGTCGGCCGATGTTTGGCTGAGTTGGATCATGCGCTTCTGCATAGCTAACAGAATTCCCCGCGGGGTCGCAAACCGACGGTAAGTCAGTAAGAAATGAGTTATGAAAGTAGGATCTACGAAAATGAGAAGATAGGTCGAGATCAGCAAGGTCCATAAAGAAATGCCGGAGCAATATACCATCGCCACTAACGGCAAGGAACAGTAGCTTGTCCAGAAGTTGCTCCAAAGTCGCCCACGGCACCGGCCTTTGCCCCTGGTGTCAATTTAGGATCGTCCGAGGAGCACGAAAATACGCACGCATCCCTCTCCCTGTTATCAGGTAGAGATTCTGCAGATTCTCCGATGTCTGAAGGACCCTCTTGGGCAGGTCCACCCGCACCCGCTGTGGCCATGTTCGCTTGAAATTCCAGAACATCTCTGTTGCTAGAATCCTCCACGTCCTTGTCTCTCGCCCCAATCCCTTTCCTCTCTTCCTCAGCATGCAGGTCACTGGTAGAGCACACCCGGGTATGCGATCGGGGTGATTGGCGAGCCGGGGAGTGTGAGGACAAGGTTGATCGCGGGAGCTTCTGCGGTCCTGCAGTAGACAGTACCATGTGAGGAGCAGCGACGGACCCTGGCGTAGGTGTGGCATTGCTTGAGCGCGGTGGCTCCCAGAAAGTCGGCGTTTCCAGTACATCGGGGGAGGCTGGATTGCGATATGTTCCGCCAAGATCGAACCGTGACATACCTGGATATCATTCAGTGTATGCCACGCAAAGCAGAGCTTGGATTCAAGATGCGTACGCTTATCCTTGAATATAGCACGCAGGAGCCAGTCGAAGCATCGCTGCATTTTCTCCTTCCCCGCTTCGTCAGCAGCACTAACTTCGACGATACCGGTGTCAAAGGAGCTTGCCAATGCGTGCCCCTTACGCGCCGAGACTCGACGTTCCATATCGGATTTACAAGCGACGACAACCATTGGCAGTTTGAGCTCCCTGTATTCTCCTGTGCACTTGGTTATTCAGGTAAACAATGCATTTATATCTAATTTGTTCTTACGTAGCAAGCTCTCGATTGGCTGGAAGGACTGCTCATCCGAACAGTCATAGCAGATAAGTACACCTTGGATATCGGGAGCGCCGCCAGGCCAGATGGGACAGTCGGTATTGGACACGTGATCCAAGCTTCGAGCAGGGACGTCCACCTCCATCACACCCAGTATCCGCGTACGACCACTGTGCGGCCGAGGAATCCTACCTGTTCGGAAAGTGTCTAGAGTGAAGGTTAATTGAAGTGACAAACTTTTGTGATACAGGGCTCAGAGGTACGTACACTCGAAGGCGCCCTTTTCTCCTAACGGCACGGAACACGCTAGGGGGTTCGAGAGGCCATAGGCACACAAGCCAGTCTCTACGAATGTCGACTTGCCACAGTGAGACGTGCCCACAACTGCGATAGAAATATCGGGCCAAGGTGAATGTGAACCCCAACTACTTGCGGCATGCGTTGGTGTTTCACTACTTTCTGAGAGAGGTATCCCTATGCTACCACTGCGTAGCCGGCCGGTCGGACCACCTGCAAAAACTGAAGTGGTGCTCTTCCGTGTTATACTTCGGGAAGTCACATCTTCACCTAGCCCCGACGGAGAATAGTCAATGTCGGTGAAGCCATCATCAGCTGCAAGGGGCGGTAGCCGAGGAGGTAGAACCAGCTCTCCAGGTCGCGCAACGAGTCTTGACTTGGCTCGTACTTTGGAAGCCCTCCTGGAAATTTCGCCCAAATGCGCAGATGCATCTGAGTGGACATCCTCCGAAACGTCTGAGATAGAAACCCCGTCGGCGGCCGTGCTTATACTCGCGCCACGGCGCCGCGACGGCCCTCTGGGAAAGGCAACGCTGTCCTCCCTCCGCGAACCAGCAGGGTCCGTCAGAGCAATGGTCTTTGTCCGGACCCGTATTCCCGATCCACGCGAGGATGAGGTAGAAGGCTCCTGCAGGTCCGCGTTAACTCTGAATCTAGCTTGACGCGCCTGACCGTCCGTGGCCACATCACCCTTGGTGCTCATGAAGGAGTCTACGGAGATAGATTTCCTAAGACTCGATGGCGAACGCGGAGAATCTTTGGAAGGAGCGGAGATATCTGGTACACCACTAGAAATTATATTAGAGGATAATGAAGCAGAGAAGGCATTCTGAGGGAAAGGCGTGTCGGGTCGTGCAGAAGAACGGTGTTCAGAAGGGGAAGATGAAGGCATACTGAGAGAAGATCTACCGCTTCGCCGAAGAATCAGATGAGTTGAACAGCCCGCGGAGGGGGGCGGTGGTGATGATGAGCACCAACATGTATCTGTCCGCAACCTGTCCTCCAATATCCACCGCCTAACCTCGCCGACATTGCGTTACGTAATGGTTCTGACTACCGTATATACAACACAAGCGGGAGTTGCAGTGGCAACGTCCTCACGTTCTTAGGGGAGTTTTGCAAGGCTTCACCAGTCAGATGATATCCATTACATTAAGCTACAAGCAAGGTCCTCTTTTTTTTACTTCCAGAATCAGGAACAAGCTATCTGTATCCATGGATCCATGCTTTCCAGCAATTCGAAGAGACACGGGCGCCTTGAGGGTTACGCTTGCGTAACATATTGCTAATAAGATGCCCTAACATCACAGTTGGAGGGCTCCCTTGGCAAGGGCTAGAGCTCCTTCTTTCGTCTTGTTACCTATGCTCAAGCATGAGAGACCGTGGTGGATCGTCCTCCAGAGCGCACCAGACGCACCTCCAATGAAGCCGCTTGCATGAACAAATATGCCACCATTTATCCCGCTTGCTTTGCTAAGCTCATCATCCCTCAAACCTCTCCAAGTTTCTGGGAGAGGTTTGCGACTTTCGAAACTCTCGGGGGTGATCGGGACTGCTTGAACTCGCCAGTTGCCCCCCGTCTCATCGGGATATACCACATATATGGGCTGCGACTCGGGGGGTATAGCTTGCTCGGCCTCCAGTTCGAACAGATGCTCCTAGATGCGAAGTGTGTTGAGCTATCAGCGGCATAGTGAAATATGTCTCCCGAACCTTCCAGGGAGCAAATTGCGTGAAGAAGAGTATCCTCCCACTGGGTTCCACATTCCATCGCTCGGACAAAGCTTTCAGCACAATGTCACGAGCCGGTAGCCATGCTTTCCCATAATAATCGAGACGACCGAAAAAATCCTCGCCCGTTAGCTGCGATGCTTGCTCAAAGCGAGCCTGCGTGGAAAACGTTGGGAGATCACGCTTAACAGAGAGGGCAGGTGAACCTACATCCACGCTGTCCGAATCCACAGACTCGTTCCAAGCTGGATTTAACCAGCTTACTCTGCTAGAGAGATCGGTACGATTCCGATACCTCGGCTGTATATCTTTGGGGTATTGTGAAATACCATTGTCGATACCATCGATTGCTTCGATGAATTCCTGGCGGTGGGGGACGTGAGCATACATCAAAGACCGCTACTTGAGTTGACAGACCTTATAGAGCTTTAGCCAGAGTGTGTTCACTTTGGAATCATCTGTACTCAACCCCAGTCTGGTTGCAACAATCTCTCTACCGAAGTGCCTGCAGAACGCATCAGTTGGAGCTATCATTCATAATCGAAAAACTCCACTTGTAGACAAGTCCTGCCGATGATAGCTTTGTGGTGAATCCATGCCCGAACACTTCGTCAAACCCTCTTTGGTGATGATCGAATCGTTGCAAGCCTTCATCATAGACGCCGCCGACATCCACCACGATATCGCAAGTGTCCAGGATTTTGGGATCGCGCGATCGCTTTAGACCTTAGTAAAGGGAATAAGTGCACAGTGATGCAAGGCATGAGTATAAACGACTGACCAGCACCATGGTAAGTAGTAGTGTGGCGCAGGAGAAATACGGCTAGTGCCTCATCGCAATGGAAGGTCCCATTATGAGTACCTATGGTCTTTACGCGTCTCTTCTGGGTTTTGAAATCATTCAAGGAGAGATGATTGTCTTACCTTCGTACTAGACTGACCGATGTCCATCTTTTGCCTTTTCAATGGTTGGCTATCCACCGAACTCAAGGACATGGGTGCCTTCAAGTTGGACAACCTGCGTACGAGAGCCAAACGGGCTTGTGGTTTCCCTCCAGACGTAGACGATACTGAAAGGGGGAGATAGGTATACGAAGCGGTTGAGCGATTGCTCAGGACGGTCCGCGAGAACGAAGCAAACCTCAAACTCATACAATCGGCGCGAACCTGTCCGAATGTACATGTTCCCGGTCGTACTCAAGTGGCACACAGCCACAGTCGAGCATAGGCCCTCAGTTGCTTACCGCCAACTACCATGGCATCCAAGAGACTCAGAGTACTCCTGACCGCAAGTATCGACGCGTCTATTCCAGTTGAGATACTGTCGTATTGAATCCTTTGTACTTGTCGTCTTAAGAATGACGACGGGCCACCAGGCCGAGATTCGCCCTATATCTACGGCTTCTATCGCCATCTAACGGATGTCCTAGGTAGATAATATACGTCCCGCTTATATGTGCTTGTACTGACCTTTCACGCAATGTGCAGGCTGGGATGTCAAGGTTGTCTTGCCTAGCACCCAGAAGTCATGGATCGGTATGGAATCTTGGTCATCCCGCTTGTCGATCTCAGTAACCTTTACGAAACGTCAGGCAAGGCATACCAAATCAAAGACATCATCCGAGGACAATACTACTACCCGCAAGACCCAGGTACGTTCTTGAGCGACTGCCGTGTCATTCACGCTGAAATACTCTTTGCAGATGGTAATGGCGAGATTTCTCTATCACCTCGGCTACTACAGGACGGAGAAGTAGCTGAGTGGATTCTTCTGGATGGCGTAAGTGTTGTTTGTTGCAGACATATTTGCTGCTATATTGGCATTGGATATCAGACGCCAGCGACCTGTGTCAATATTGCTCTGCACAACCTCTACAAGGGGGAAATCGATCTAGTGGTTCGTCGCAATGCGATGTACTTGGCTGGACAGTGTATGCTAACGTTTTTTGGGGGCCTCTGCGTAGATTTCTGGTCCAAATTATGGCAGAAATACATCATGTTCGTGGTTCTGGTCCTATGTCCTCGTCGAGATGCTGACCAAGCAGCTTTTTAGCCGCATTTGCTCTCTCGTCGGGAACAATAGGCGCTGCGCTGTCTTCCTCTCTTTCTCATATCCGTTCCATTGCCGTCTCGTACGGAACGGTCAACAGGCCAACCCCGACAAGTTATTTCGACCCTGCCCACAGACTCGCAGGTCGTATCATCTCCCACCTGTGGGACACCTGGGGTAAGGATGAAGGAGGTCTACGCAACGGCGAAGTAGACCTTTACAACATCAACATCCCTATGATCGAGGAACTCCTTAGTGAAAACGGCTTGGAGATACACTGGACAACGATCTGGCGCAACACATACGGGCGATTATTCCAGGCGCACTCACCCGACGAAGCACCTGCCCTACGACGAGCAGGGTCTTCGGGTGGGCCGGACGCCCCTGCTGGCCAAGATCCGGAGGATGTCTCTGCCAGTAAAGAAGCTGCTCCGTCAGAAGTCGGAAAACTAGTGTTCAAGTTCAAACCCGACATGCAGGACCTCATCTTTCCTTCCGAGGATATCTTGCCGGTCGGGTCTGATGGATGGGCCATGTTTAAAGGGCACGTCAGCGTCACTCCTTTGCGCGCTAGCTTCGCGGAGCCCGGCTTCGCTGTCGCAGCGCCGGGGCGCGATGAAGCAGGAGTGCGGATAATGAAACTGTAGATCATGCCATGATTGGACTTCAGTGGTGGATCTCGTCTTCGTAGGTTCTTATCCAATCACATAACCCGCATTGGATGTTATATAGTGGATCAAGGAAGTGTATCTGTATCCAATGCTTTGTGCCTTGCTTTGGACTGTTTCCAGGCTCTCTCAGCCAACGGCACGCTGTACAGAAATCCCACGCCCTTTCCTGCTGAAGCGTGTAAACCAAGTACTACTCCTTTGTATTCGCACTACAGCAACGTACAATATCGTCCACGCAACACTACAAAAGCAGCCCAGTCGTGCTCAGCAACAGGGCTATCACCCACCAGAATGCAGAGGGGCCTGGTGGCGACGACGGCGCGGCTGCAGCTGAAACCTGACCGGTAATTATCTGCTTTTTGTACACCTTCAAGGTGTTGATAATCCAGGACGCATTCTAATCGGGAGTCAAGACTACGCAAGTTTATCCATGGTATAGTTTACTCACCACGAAATTACTAGGATCCATGAGACGCTCGGCGCACGTCCCAGGGCATCCGGAGGTCGCGTACGAATTACCAGCCCAGTCACCTACATATCATCAACCCCGCTCAGGAACTGGCCAGGAAGCACAACTTTATGTACTCACCGCAGAAGGTGATATCTGGATACGGCGGTCAGTATGCTATCTGTGCAATAAGTCGATGGTACGTACCGAAGATGATGGAGTGGTTCACGAAATTAGTGAGGGGATCGCATCCCGACGGGTCCAGGGCAGCGACAGGCTCGCCCCAGCTCGAGGGATTGGGAGTCCCGTTGATGACATCGGCGGGCACCGCGGCTCTATAGAATGACCCTGACATTGGCCACACCAAGTCAGTCCTGTGTGCGCCCGGTAAAGCACTCGAGAGCTCCTTACAAACTGCAATGCCCTGGTCATCCCACTTCATGGCGAACACGCCGCCGCCCTGGGCGTCGAACGTCGGTCCATACGACGCACGGCTCCACTCGGTCACCCCGCAGCCGGCGTTGCTGTTCCGGTTATTACTGCAATCGCAGTCGAGGTTATCCTGGCCGTTCGTTTGCTGTCAAGGCGCAGGCGTCAGCGACTGGGGCTGGCTTCGTCGTAGTGCGGGCACATACCACGATGGTTCCCGTGAAATTCGTCGGTGTCAGCGTACAGTCTTGTTGCACGGCCTCTCCATTAGTGAACGGAAACACGCTCAGAGGCATACGAGAGGTACCTACTCGGCCCGGTATGCCATGTAACTTGGTTATGCTGATTATCGTGCACGCCTTCTAAGATATCGATCTCTCCTGTCTAGCAGGCAGATCAGCCTTCCATACACTGATATCGGGCAGGAGCGGCGGGACGCACATAAGGCCATTGCCCGCCGCCGAGGGTCCAAAATGCTGGCCACACCCCTGGACACGATTCAGTAGACGAAGGCAGCGACGTGGGCGGCAAGACTTACCACATCCCCACGGAGCCCTATCTACATCGAGGATGAACAGCCCAGTGTTGTATTGGGTGTAGCTGGAGACGCGGACACTGCGCGGGTACGCAGAAAGCTCGGTAAGGCCGTTAATTCTCGGGGACGAGTTACCTGCAACGCACCTGTTACGGTATGCGCCCTCGGGCAACCAAGTGGTGTTATCGCCCTTCATTATAACTTTATTGTCATCCGTGACATACGCAAGGCCGCTCGAGAAGGCGGTTGATTGGTTCACATAGCTGACGCGGCCAATGTGTGAGCAAGGCGACGATCATTCGTCCATCGGAATTCCGACACTCACGTTACGGTCCCACTGATGAAGAATAGTGTATCAGCCAATACAATGGAAGGACGCCAGACAGACCAATCACGCACTGCGTAGGATCCGAGTCGCTGTAGAACCCAAACCGACTGCACACGCACACGCATAACGTTAGTCGCTGACGAATCCGCGCACACCGAACGAACGAATGAATGAACGCGACACGCACTCGAAGAACGTCTTGCCCGCGTACGTGTCCTGGATCACCCACAGAAAGCTCGTGCCGTTCCTGTCGTATTCAAAGCTCGAGCTTCCCGAAGCCGCCGCCGCTCTCTTCACCCAAGCACCGGCACGCGGGAGCAGGGAAGACAGGCCTGCGTCCCGAGCGCTGCCACTCCAAGTGGCCGGTAACGACACCTTTGGCAATCGCGGTCGCAGGTTCAGGTTCAGGCTTGGGAGCGCGGACACGGTGGCGCACGGCCCCAGGGAAGGTAGGAGGAGGACCGTGTAGAGCAGGAACGCGGGGAGCTGCGAGTACATCGGAGCCGCGCGATCGCGCAGGGAATACGGGATACCGAGGCGCGTTAGATGGAGGTCGTAAAGGTTGACGTGAAAGTACGTGTCCGTGAGTCAAGAGTAGGCGTGAACGGGTCGTATCTTCGAGAATCCCGGATGAAAAGGAACGTGAGTGCGAGATCCGGGAGACGGGAGAGAGAATACCCACCCTAAAATCATGAATAGACAATGAGGCAGGCCGACGCAATGCGATATCGAAACGTGTTCTGATGTCGCGTACGTACACGGTTCGAGTGTAAGCGGCAAAGTCCAACGACCTTTAGACGTCGAGGCGGAAACCTATGTTGACGGAGGGAATCAAGTCGGGAGAGTGGAAGAGCCCTTTTGAGCTCAGAGGGCCCCAGAAATGAAAGGCACGCTGCGAGGAGAGGTGGGGTATCGAGGAGTATGGGTGAGGTCAAGAGCAGCAGCGGGACCGTGACCTTGTACTGGTCCATTGCATGGCGCCGCTACACACCGCATATGTTCTCTTGGCCCCGGTGGTCAGGACAGGAGCATAACTCGAGAGTATTCTCCGAGTCTTTGCCAGAATTTCTGAGGTGATGACATGGTTCAGGAATATAGTATAGAGCGAGTCTGGCGAGCCACAATTGACAGGTCGCTCGCACGAATAGACAGGGAGGAGTGCCATGAAATTTCGATTGTGTATGTACAACGTAGACTGGTACTGTGTACACTCCTATATACGTTCGACGCAGCTGCTGGTGGTGGTAGTGATTGTGGCAACAAGAAGATCATGGGAGAGATCGAGATTTACACGATCATCTTGTGAACCTAACCCAAACAGTTGGTCCGGTACCATGAGCATGAGCAAAAGCGCGCAGCCTGTTCGGATAGCGCTTGTGAATGGATTACTTGCTCGTTCATTCCGGAGGGAGGGAGAATAACAATAGACAGAGGGAAATCCGCTGGATAAGCCCGAGTAGTTGCTAGGCTTGAGCGGGGACGATGTCGACGTGATGGATGAAGTTACTGACCTGATAAGATATAGAATTCATCTGCGCCAGGCGCACAGACAGGCCCCAGAGAGGTTTGGCCGCAGATGGAATCTACTCAGGAAAGACTTACTCAGAGGTCGACGAAGGTAATCACAGATCGCGCAGGAACACTGCTTGAGAAGATATCATCATGGTTCAAGTGAACGTCCCGTTCCGCCATCGGCCCAGACCCATTAGCAAGTAAGCAACGGGTGCAAGAGCAAGGAAAGCAGTTAGCTGAACCTTGGGTAGCGTGGCAGAGCCCGAATTGGGTGGCTGTGGCTCGGGCTGGGTCGGTGCGAGTGCTTACGTCAGAGATGGGTCCGCACGAAAACGGCCGGTTATCTGATTAGACAAGGCTGCCTCTTCCCCTCCAGATCTACTTGCGCTCCGTGTTTACTCGACCCAGCTCTGGCCCGTTTTCCATTTATAACCCCTCGTGGGTTTACCCTCCTCACTCTCTTTCCCTTCCTCTCTACTCGCCCCGCGCCCCAGCACATCCCTCTTCGTCTCTTCAACGCCCCCGACGACGACGACGAGCGCTCCGACACTATGACGAGGCCGACTAATGCCTCCGGACGGAGGTCAAACGACGGAGACTCGCTCGACCACCGCTCATTCACCAATGACGACGGCTCACGGCCATTACGACTCACGACGACTACAACCACAAGCGCCTTCGTCGTCAGGGCGCTGGCCCTTTTGTGCGCATGCTCACTGAGCATTGGCAGCCATTAGTGAGTCCATCATACACCACCGCTCCATGATTCTGACAAAAATACCGTCGCCGCCCCCAGTGCCTCCTACATCCTCGGGCCCCTCAAGTCCAAAATAACCCGCGAGATGGGGACTGACAACACCGAATTTAGTCTCCTCATTTCCGCCCTCAGTCTCAACAGCACATGGACTCCGCTCGTGGGCGGCATCATGGCCAGCAGGCTGGGGACCACGCTCACCAGCATCCTTGCGACAGGTGTCATCTTCCTCGGTAAGATCCCGATACCTACGCGCCGCCGCCTCTCCATTTGATCTCCTGATTCAACTGCACCCAGGTCAAGCGCTCCTGCTGCTGGGCGATATCTCGGAGAACGTCCGTCTTATGGCATTCGGGCTCTTCGTCTTTGGTCTCGGGGTTTCCCCGCTCGCGGTTGTCCAAGAGACTATTATTGTCCGCTTTTTCCAGTCTCACGGCTTGGGCGTGTCGCTCGCTTTGGGCCTGGTCGCAGGCAAAGGCGCATCCTTCATTTCGGCCCGGTCTTCTTATCCGCTCTCCCAGAAGTTCGGGCCCCACGCGCCCTTCATCGCCTCCACGGCCCTTGCTGCTTTTTCTGTCCTCATCAATCTCATCTACGTCTCAGCGTCAAAATGGCTCGTCCGGAACTCTGATACAGAGCTCGAGGCCGCCGAGATCGAAGAAGAGGCCTCCAGGAGGGCGTCTCATAATCTTTCCGAGGCTCAAGCCCTAGAACGCGTTGCGGAAAAGCGGAAGGTGCATTTCCGGGACATCACCAAGCTCGGAGACGTGTTCTGGGTGTAAGTGATTAAAATCACATGACCTTCTCAATGCATCCGTCGTCACTATTATAAAGAGCTCACACACATTCCCCCACAGATACATTGGTCTAAATATACTCTGCGGCGCGATCTGGTCGCCTTTCACACACCTTGCTGCGTACGCATCTTCGCCTCGCATTTACGATACGGATTGCAAACCTCACGTCACTCACCCATGGCATTAGTAACATCATCGAGCGCCGTTACGGCCTTACCGAACTCGAAGCGAGCAACAGCGCTTCGTACTTACTTGCAGGCAGCGTGATACTCTATCCAATCGTCAGTATCAACACTCCATTCCTATTGCGCCCACTATAGGTGACTGAACTTTACTTCGAATAGTGCGGGTACATCACAGACCACTTCAAGAATAGGCCGATCGTCCTGCAGCTGTTCTTGCTCTCCGCAGTCTTGACCGCATGCTGTTACGCCTGGCTGGCCCTTCCGCCGTCATGGACCGAGACGCCGATGCCTGGTATCGCTGCCTTTGGGATAGGGCAGGGCTTCTCACCTTGTAAGTGGCGTTGCTCTCGATTCTCCTAAACTCGCTCATCGTCATTACAGTACTCCTGGTCATGATTGTGCCTCAAATCGTCCCCTTCAAATACGTCTCCACCACCCTTGGAGCCCATAAAGCTGTAGGTTCCACTCCGCATTTCTACATCGGATGTAATCTTAACTATACTCGCACTCCGCTCTAGCTCGAACAAACCGGGTCCACGATCTCTCAGACACTAGCGGGTCTCTCTCTGGATCTCAAATCGCGCACAGCGAAGAAGCCCATGCAGTACCTCCTGAACGCCTTCTTGGCGATCAACCTCCTGGAGATCCTGGTTTTGGTGGGACTTGTCAAGCTCGTCCGACGGAGGTCGCGCGCGGCCGCGGAGACTCAAAATCGTCGTTCATCGGCATCTCGTAAGGAGCAGTCGCATGGCCGTGGTAACGTGCAACAGGGCCCGGCCCGTCCATCGCAGGCGCCTCGTGCCTCTACGTCTTCCGAGGAATCAACTGAGGCAACGCCCCTTCTGGGGGAGCCAGAGAGGGCAAGGTCCCCTCGTTTGGAGGGTTTCGAAACGCCTCCCATTCACCAGTATCTCATCCTGCCCGACCAAGACGAGGATCCTGAGGCTCCCACTCCCACGGACGGCCCTCCCGCTGCCGTTATTGTTACTTCAAAGAGCGAAATCAGAAGAGGAGAGATATCGGCTGCGGCCTCTGCGGCGTTGGTGGTGTTCGCATGGGTATTATTTATGGTCACTGCTTGGCTCAGATTACGCTCCAAGCAGGACAGGGGTGGTGCAGCAGGTGGATCTGGATCCAGCTGAGTGCTTGTCAAGATATACACGTTTTTATCTCTTTCTCGGTCTTGCAAATGCATTGTGGATTTATTGTATTCTATTAGAGTGTATCAATCCATGTATAACCATCCGCATTTATCAATATACCTCACGCAATGAGCATGATTATCCACTGTCTATGTTTGACTAATGAACGGAAGTGACGCGTATATGGGTGGTATCGAGAGGTGCAAGGCGCCAGAGCACATCGCTGGGGTATATGTAGACGTGCTGGGGGTCATGTACGACGAGGACGCTGTGTCAATCGTGTCCACCGTTTCTTGTTGACTGCTTTGCCTTCCCACTCCTCTTCTTGAGCTTGAACCTGAGCAAGATACCTTTCCCTCCAGTCCGGCTCTCCAATGTGTTCAGCGACCCAAGATAGGCGGTTAGCGAGCGTCTCCATATCTCGGTCGTTGTAATATCCATGTCCGCCTCTTGGATACCGCCATCTCCGATTGGCCTCCTCTTCGCCGAGGGATATGCTGAAAACGCCGTGCTCGCACTCGCTGGATGGCACCCGATACAGTCTGCTTCCGTAAAAGTACAAGGGTCGTTTGGTCAGGTGTCTGTAGCCCCAGCTATGGGGAGGAAGTGATGTGGCCCCTGAGTCCTAAATCAGTCAAGGACGTGATGGTTGGCGTATGAGGCGTACCATCCTTGTAAATCTTCACCGAATATTCCTGGAACGACTCCTCTCCGTTTTCCTTACGGTACTCGTGGATAGTGTCCTGCCAAAGACGCGCGAGATGCTTATTTCCGACCCTCGGGGCCCCAAAGAAGGCCAGTTTAATTCGCAAGCCCGAGAAGAGCAGCTTCCTCTCTAGCATCAGATCCAACGCAAGGAGGGAGCCCACTGCTCCGCCCATACTGTGTCCAGTAATAGCAATTTCTTTGACTTGTCCGACTTTGTCACCTAGACCAGCTTGAATAGCGTCCATGGCAGGTCCCTTCAGTCCCTGATATAACCTCCAGAACCCCTTGTGCACCATACACTTATGACCCACCGGATATCGGGTCATTTGGTTACGAAAATCGTATGCTACATGCTTCAGTGTACGGGTCCCAGAAATGGCGACGACCAGCTGCCTTTTGGCTGGCCGATATGCCGTGAATGCATGCAGGTTTGCGACACTGCCGCAGAAGGACTTGAGTAGCTCAGAGTCCAGGATCACCCGCGAGTCTTCAAGCGGGAATCGAGGTTCTGTCAGGAGTTCCAAGTTGCTGTAAACCATCTCCACCGGCATGATATTGTATGCCAATTCGGCGAACTGTCCAAACTCAGCCAGTTCCTCCTGTAGTTCTGACGGTGCCGCATCCTTGGACGTCAAGACGTAGCGAGAGCGAGTGGCCACAATCTTGTTTATGACCCGGAAATTGCCGAGAGTTTCGTGATCGTACATGGCCTTTTGGGCTGGAGTCAGCTCCAGGGCATCCTTGGAGAGGAGCCGAACGACATGGCTGAACATCCGTCGATGTAAGGTTCAGAGTCTGCGAGGGCGACGACGAGCGCCAGGATAACTTGAGATATGGGTCGAGAATACGTATGGAATGATGCAATGGACAACAGCTATAAAAAGAGCGATACTCCGGACTTGGGCTTCTGATTCCCTAGCAACACGAAGAGCACATGTAAGCGGCACCAGAACCCGGCAATACAACATGTTGGACTCAAGCAGGAGCAAGCGAGAATGAGGTTACCGACAGCCATAGTGATCCCCTTCGCGCAAGCCTATTTGGGCGCCTTGCTTTTCCAAGCTTCCTCTGGTTCAATCATGGCCTTGTAATATTGTTCCTCCCAATCTGATGTTTTGTTCATGTTCTCATAGAGCCACGCGAGGCGACGAGTCGAGCGCTCTAGATCCCTGTCATTATAATAATTGTGTCCACCCTTCGGATACAGTGCGCTCGTTCTCAAGTCCTGCGAATCCGGAGAGACATCGAACAAGCCGTGCTCACGTTCGGACGGGGGGATGTGATAAAGACGACCGCCCGAAAAGTATAGTGGCGTTTCAGTGAGATGCCTATAACCTAGTTTGTACGGTGGAAGGGATGGGACACCTACGGAGACTCAATTAGGACGTGCGAGGCAAGGGCTGGGTCCACCTACCATCGTTGTAGCCCTTCACGAAGTACTCTTTGACGGGGCGTCCGTATTGACGGTCGCTCTCTCGAACGGTGTCGCACCATAACTCCGCGAGATGCGTATTACCGACTCTTGGAGCGCCGAAGAAAGCGAGTTTCAGGACACTTGATAGGAGCTCTCGTTCATGCAGCAGCAAGTCCAGAGCCAGCAGGTAACCGACAGCGGCTCCCATGCTGTGTGCTACGATCACGATCTCGTCGATATCCTTGCCGTGCTCGCGCATGGCACTGCGGATGCTATCTAGCGCTAGCTCTTTGATACCCATGTACAGGCTCCAGAATCCCGCATGCACAGAGCATCCTTTCCCGTAAGGATATGTCGTCCTGAACGCATGCAAGTCGTAGTAAACTTGTTTGAGATTACAGGTCCCCGATATAGCCAGAATCAGTTGCCTCTTTGCTGGTCGATGAGCAGTGAAGGCATGCAGGTCCGCGACTTTGCCCAGGAAAGACTTCAGGAACTTCGATTCCCGTACGGCGTTACAGGTCTCCAGGGGGAAATTAGGTCTTGAGAGGACGTCAATGTGACGATATACATCTTCCACAGGCATAACATTGTAAGACAGCTCTATGAATTGACTCAACTCAGCCAGCTCAGTCTGCAACTCGGGTGAAGCAAGGTCGTCTGAGGATAGAATGCGCCGGGAGCGCGTGGCCGTAAGTTTCGCGATCAGGCGAAAGTTAGTCTGAGTCTCCGTGGCGTACAGATGCTTCTGCGCTGGAGAAAGCTCGAGCACGTCCTTCGAGAAGATACGCATGGCAAGTCTAGGTGGTGGTAGCTGTCAGAACGAAGTCAATTTCGAGCTCGTCGGGCGGTTAAGCGCCCGGTGTCAATGTCACATGACCGCGACGCGTTAATTGACGTGACGCGCCGCGCTTCAATGTCAATGTCATTACATGCGTTATGTGCACATAAGGATACAAGTAAATGACCCCACCCCGCATATGCCCCATAGGCGCCCAGAAATAAAGTAGTACATCAATCACAGCCGCTCTCTACCACAGTAGTCCATAATGCGACAGGAAAGGCATCCTTCACCATTGGGACATGAGCCGCAGATACGGAGACCTCTGCGCACGCCAACGAAGCCAGGTAAGCACGCGTATATGCAAACACAACCGAAAAAATCAACGTCACATACATCATCCGCGCTACACGAACCGGCGAGAATCACTCACGTATCGCCGCCTGCTCAGCCGCACCCAGAGGAGCGTCGCGCCCAGCGCGAGGACGCACAGCGAGAATTCGGTCCAGCCGAGGGCCTCTACGGTGAGTGACTGTCGGCATCTGTGGGGGAGTCAGTTCTAGATGCCATTACTCTGGATCGAGTGCGTACCGTGAGTTGGCAGGGGCCCCAGGACAGTCGTGCCCACCTCGAGTCTTGTGCATCACGCCCGACGCCGTCCCCTGCGGGGGGCATCCTCAGCAAGGCGAGTAAGGATGGAAATGGCATACGCACCCATACAATGGTGGTGATGACCAGCCATATGACAGAGCTCGCGATGCTGGCCAGTACGTGCACCGATCCGTCGATCATCCACAGCAGGTACGCGGTGGAGAATATCATGGTCCACACCGCGTCGAAGCAGAATAGGATCAACCTTGGAATAATTGTGTGTCAGAGCTTCACGTCCGAAAAACGAAGGAGAGTGAATGCCAATCACAGCGAATGGTAGCGGATGCTCGGCCACGAATGGTGCTCATTCCCCATAGTAATCAGAAACGCAGTCAGCCCGAGCTCAGCGAGGGCGCAGAAGGTCATGAGCGCGAACATGTACGGGTGGTACGGGTGGTAGTGCGCCTTCGCGACCATGGTCGATTCCGTATCGGTGCTGTCGACGCTCGTATCCGCGGGGGTGCCGTTACTGACAGTCATATAATAAACAAGATAGGCGGATTAGCGCAGAAAGATTGGCTGCAATCGACGTACGAAGGCGGACAGAGGGGGGCCAGCGGCTTGAGGAGGGGGTATATGGGGCGGAGGGGAGGTGGACCGGAGGATGGGGGTGAAGCATCTCGCAGTAGTTAATAGCAATAGTGCGCAGAACGCGTGTACGCAGTAAGGCAGTCGTCGATCACCGAGAGCTTATGTAAATATTCCCGAACTTAACCTTTCCCCCTCCCTAAAGACTAGCAGCCAGAGGTGCGACGCCGTGCGCGACATGTTAGATGGGGACGGTAGACATACAGGAAATTCCTTGCATTCTTACCCGGATGTAGGCAGTATTTGGTTCGTCTCTGAAGAGCCAGTACCAGACGGAAAGGCGCGTACGCCCGATAAACACGTGTAGTGCATGCGGCCGACGGGACAGGACCATTCTATGGTGACGTTCCAACACAGAGCTCTCCATTGATATCGGCTACCACCTTCGCATATAGCCATTCTGGCTGCGTCGCGGCGCACTGGAATGTATGAAGTCTCAAGTCTTAACGCTTAAAAGCCAGAAAGTGGAGGCTAGCTTGAAACTTACTGCCTATCCACCTATGTAGCATCCGGTCGAACACAGCAAGCTCCTGCAACGATTCCATCAATTCTTATTTCCGAGATAATCTGTGGAATGAACTTCACCTTCAATCCGGTGCTCGAGCCGAGTCTCGAGGACAGCCCTCAGGCATGCTGATGCAGAGCCCCCGATTTGAATGTGGCAAATCGATTGACAGAACGGCCATGCAATGCGAGTCATGAAGTGACGGCGATGGTCATAGACACCAGAAGCACGGCCAAAATCAGAGCCTTACCTGAAAGGTGAGGTATCGCGAACAGATTGACTGCCTCAAGAATAGCTCAGAAACGGAGAAATCCTGGGACCAGTAGGTAGAGAGAGAAAGATGCGAAGGACCTCGAAGGACCGCTCAGGCAATACCCATTTATTCTTACACATGTCTATGAATATCCTATACACGACGCGGGCAGACGACTCAGTCTCACGGGTAGCAAAAGACACAGCGACACTCACTGGGGCCGCATACATTACTTGGGAGGAGATGTACGATGCAGTAAATTACGTCGTGAAAGAATGCAGTAATCGATACTTAAATGTCAAAGTCCGGGGAGCAGTCCATCCAGTCAGATATGCGATCACCGTCCGACAAACGATATACGCAACATATCCAGAGCCCAAGCCAAGTCCGTTGCCAACACCACTGTCCCACCACATCTCCCAACTACCTCATGCGAAAACCAACGCTCCTCCGACCAGTATCCCGGCTAAGCTCACGAGTACCACGTTGACGTTGGCCATCAGAGCTGCGGCGATGTATCCGTCGTCTGGCCCGTAAACACCGCCTGCACCGCTGGCTCCCGGTGACGGGGCGCCGCCATCTCCTCCTCCGCCATCGATGGATGTGGGCGCGGTGGGTAGTAGGCTGTAGGGAATTGTGGATGAGGAGGAGTTCCCGGAAGCAGTCTGGGAGGGTGATGTCTGGTTGCCGGACTGCGTCGCGTTGCCCGTGGGTTGTGCCGTGTTGTTTCCGGCGTTGGTGAGAGTCTGGATGATTGTGGCGGTCGTCGTGGCCTCTTGCCTGCCATTTGAGCCAGAGACGATGACGACCCCGGTGGAAAGACTTGTTATGACTTGGCCATTATTCGAGTTCTGTTCCGGAGAGACTGTGAGAAGGTGATCCGTGGTTGTCTGCGCCGACACGCACCTGCGAGAGAACGAGCAGAGGGAAGAAGAGCAGAGCAAGCAGCGAAGGGAGCTGCATGGCGGGTCGTGGATGCGGTCGTGCAGGAAGGAGGAGCAAGGACTGCAGAAAGATGAGCCTCTGGTGCCGGAGGAGGACGTCGCTGTGGAAAGATGTGCCGTGAGAACCTGAATTGGCAGGAGCGAGATTCACGTGCGCTGGCTGGAATTCCATCTGCAATTGATGGCGCTGGCCTGCCCCGCCCAACCCCGCAAAACAGATCTGTCACTGCTTAAAAGCCTGCTGCAAAGGCGCATGTCCTCTTCCCCGCTTCCCCACATCCCATAGCGACCATGCCCGCCCCTGCCCCGCTGCCCGCCCACGCCGTCTCCCTCGTCCTCCAGTACATCGCCCCGCCGTCCGGCATCGCCCAGCCCCTGCCCCCGCACCTCCTCTCCAGGCCCCTCCTCCAGCGCCACCACTTTCTCGCCATCTCCCCCGACGATCCAAAGGAGTATCTCAGCTGGCCCTCCTCCGCGCCCGACGTCCGTGCCCGCGCACTTGCCCTACTCGAGGACCTGCCCAGCGTAGATCCCGAAGACGCCCTCTACCCCGTGCAGTACACCTCCGACGCCGAGAGCACCTATGCGCACGTCCATATCCCTTCACTCCTCCCCTCCAGCGGAGATGACGACCTGCGGCTCGTGTTCCACTGGGGCGGCGACGAGTGGAAGTACCACGACGCCGCTCTAATGCCGTTTCCACCCAATAGCAGCCCGGACCTCGAGTCGCCCGTCGCAGCGTCGCTTCCGGTCCCGCAGTACCTCCCCTCCGACGAGAACGTGCGCGGTGGCGCCGACGCCACGCCAGGTCAAGAAAGTGACGACGACGACGATTATTGGAACTCATACGGCGGTGGGGACGATGACGGCGACGAAGAGAGGGACACTCACCATAGCCGCAATGCTGCCCCCGCGAGCGACCCAGATCAGTCTGAGGAGGACGCAGCTGAAGCCGCTTATTGGGCCCAATACTCGTCCGTGCATGGTACGTTGGGAGGGAATGTAATCGGCCGAGAAAGTCACTAACAGAAACCCTCGCAGGCACAGCAGATTCCACCATCCCTTCACCCCTCCCCGAACAACGACGACAAATGGCCCACCCGAACCCGTACGCCGCTGGCGGCCAGGAATCTCAGATCGTAGAGTTCCCCCCTCGGGACATCCCCTCGCCGCACCACCTATCCAACTTGCTTCGGCACGCCTCACCCCGTCAATCGTTCAGCGAGCCATATTCCATACCCGGCTCCCCGCCTCCCGAAAGTAACGGTGTCGCTCGCGAAGACGGCGACGAGGGCACATCCGACGGGGGCTCCGAGGACACAAAGGTCCTGAGTCCGAAGCCGCAGGCATTGGAGGAGCGGGCGACCTTTGACTCCAAGACCGGGGTTGAAGATGCCGTAGACGCTGCGTTGAAAGCGAGCATCACGGGCATGTATCAGCTATGGCGAAGCAGCAAGCCGGGGAGTGCGTACGTGGAGCAAGAGAGGAAGGAAGATTTCATGCGGGTTATACGAGAGGTGGTGATGGGTCTCCCTTGAGCATCCGTTCGCGTGTTCGTATGTACATGTATACCCCCGCCCTGTATTTGTATTGCATACCAGTATCTAGCGGATCCATTGTATATTAGCAATTACTTACATCGAACAAAAAACAGTATGATACATCCAAAAAAGCAATTGTAGAGCAGCGCAAAGCAAGATAAATGGTGATAAAATAACGGTCAGTAGATTCGTAGCTTTCCTGCCCTTTCATGCACGCCGGTCATGAGTGTTTTGGATTGGAAGGTGCACCGGCCTTGCTTAAAAGTGCCTATGCTACTTCCTGTTCATCTTCGGCGGGCCCAGGGGTATCCTCTTCGTCAGGCGTCTCAGTCGTATCATCAGCCTCGCCTTGGTCCTCCTCTTCTACCGACTCGTCCTTCGTAGGGATTGGCGGCTGGTCAGGGAGTCTCTGCAACAAGGTAGAGCGATATCAGAATGGGCGGGCCCAACATTTATTAATCATTGTTACACCCACCCTGAATGCGAACTTGCAGACGAGGTATCCTTTAGGGTTCATTCCCTTCTCCATCCAGGCCTGGCATCAGAGACAATTGTGAGTCAATCCTTCATAATCCCACAAGAAAGCGCGGACTCACCTTCTCCACGGTGTACAGTCCGTCATAGCGGTACCTGTCATATAACTAGTCAGGCCGCTAACAAATGCAACAGCGGCGACACTGCGTACCCTTCAGCTGGCGCGAACTCGGAGTGGAGCTTGAACCCTCGGATTACTCTGATAGGCTTCTTGGTCTCACACGACCGCTGGAACATGGATCGCGAACGTCAGAATGGTTATGCTACGGCAGTCAGAGCGGGTACATCACCTTGAGTGCCTGATTGAAAGGGTTCTCGAACGTCTGGTTTGAGCTTTGCGGAGCGGTCCGAAGCTTCGGTAAGGAAGGTTAGAGGAAGTCGCGGCAGCTGTCTCTCTACGTACATTCTTCGGAGCATTCTTGGTTCCCTTGAGATCGCGCCCCCCTGTATTTCGTGTAAGCTAAAGCACATGAGATATTGTTAGAGACACAGGTACCTGATCCGGTGTAAGTGCTATGAATACCACCTCCGCGTTAGCAATTGATCTTAGTCGCGTCTCGTGAGCCATCACTTACAAGGCATATCCCAGATCGACATCATCCTCATAACCACCAGAGAGCGCAACAGAGTAGGCACCGTCCGGTCCACCAGAGATGCCCGCGACCCACGGCGCGTGAACCGCGTCCAGACTGCAATCTTTACGCGTCTCCCACCAGGTACCGACCTCGATACCAGGGATGTGTCCGAACGTCTTGGGGTCGTGAGATCTCCTCTCCGTCCGCCTGGGGTCGCTCTCCATGGTCGAGTCGCTACTCTTGAGCGAAATCAGACGGGAGCGTGAGGCCGGGAGGAGCTGTTCGCTCTTGTAGTCGACCGTCTTCCCCGCGTTCCTCTGGCTCCGGCGCGGCCCTTCGCCGTTCTCGGTGGCCTCCGCTGAAGTGCGCGGTGCCTTAGCCGGACGGCTCCCCTCCCCGTCGCCGACAGCCATAGCTGAACTCTTTCTCTTCCTCGGAGCGGTCTTCTTTTGCTTCTTTTTCGTCTTGAAGACCGGTTCGTTTTCGAAACGGTCTCCCAGTAATTCCTTCATGAGGCGACGATTGCTTTCTTTTTTCTCCTCGATCTCGAGTTCATACGCGGTACGGACCATGGTGTGTAGAGTGCTTTCGGTCGTGCTAGCCGCCAGGGGAGGGATTACAGGGAGAACTGGGCGTAGCGTACCATATTCCGAGGCGCGACCAGAAGGCCGTGCCACGTCCCGTCACACACGCGTGCCAGTGTCACACCGCGAAGTGTCGCGTCGCTCAGACTTGGCTCAGACACTCAGACAGTCGCAGAAAGTCGACCCCACTGGGAGGTCACACCGCCGAACGCGTTCGCGAACTGCAAATGCGAACGTGAGAACCACACCACGGTGCACGTGGGCGCGTGTCGATTCTGTGGCTCTGTCCACCGGCCACAGACGCGTACCCCTCCTGCTTATGATAAAATCTGCATAGCCTGAGGGTTTTAACTTGTAAGTTTATTGTATCAGTCTGTGAGATTGATATTGCTGGGTAATTGTAAAAAATGTGGTGAGTAATCGAAGCTGTCTGTCCAATTGGGGTCACACGAACCCACTGAAGCCCCTTCCGTGCCCTCCCCCTAACGGTTTCCATGGTCAATACTACTGGACGTTCTCGCGTCGCTCATACATGTGGCACGGGGGATTAACCACAGCTATGGCGCGTCTGCGAGCATCCGGTGAATCAAAAATAAGCAGTACTGCATGTCATGATTTTGCTACCTAGTACGAAGGATACATGCCAGCGGCGCTGTACTCTACATTGGCTGGATATAGAAGTGTGTGGCTGGAGTATTTTGAAGGTGAGCCCAGGTTGTAGGTCTCGGCGGGCTCATTAGCGGGGCTCGCGAGGCTCGGAGACGATAGAGGGCTACCATAACTTCCTCCTCCGACATCGAAGTGCGTACTATTGGAGTGATTCCGCCTGTGTGAGTTTTTCCCGCGTGTCGGAGGGTCTTGATGCATGTCCGCTGGTATCTCGTCAGTGCCCGCGGACTTCAACAGAGTTAGAAGCTGATCCTTACTCCCCGTAAATTTACATTTGCCTTGCTTGAGGAATATGCATCTGGAGCCACGAGGGCAAAGGTGGCCCATACAGCAGTTTTCTCCGTTGGGACACGCTTGATCTGACAAGATGAAAGATCAGTGTCAATCGACTCGTTTAACGAACGCTTACTTCTGTTGACCGCGGGACACGGTGATCTTTTGGAGTTGGTGCGGATCTCGTTGAGATGATCGTGCGTCAGTATATAGTCATGACCGTAACGGCAACGGTCCCCGGATTTGCACTCGGCCAGGTAGTAGAAGTTGCATGGCGGAGGTTTTTCTGCGAGTACCCGTCAGCAACCCGTAGCTGTATATATATATCTCTCACGAACGTTTATTGATAGACTATATAGATACGCTCAGATCATGGCCAGGACACTAACACTTCATAACTCACCAACGACGGATCAGGATATCGTAGTGTCTTGTTACCCTGTTTAGGGCTCATCGTAGGAAGTGCATTGGACGCCCTGGAAGACGTCCTGAACTTGTCAAAGTCTTCAGCTTGTATTGTTGAGGGGGGAGTAGATGATTTCTTGTGCGGGAATGTTGGGAGCTTTCTCAACATGAAAACGCCTTCAATTTCTAGATTCGGAAGATTCAAGCTTTTCAATTCGGATGCGAGGTCTCTGTAACCACGCAGTAGTACGATCTTCTCAACCAAACCCTCATTTTGCAAGTAGTTGAGTGTAGAGGTGTATCCATTGTCGTGACCGCCTGCGCTGGGTGAGTGCAAGGTCATATTAGAAGAGGGAAGCAGGGCGTACCGCCGAAGAAGACACGGGATGTCTGTGGAAATCGAGTAAATAGTCGAAGACATTCTGAAGCCCATGAGGTCGCTGGAAGATTCGATAGCATTAACCTATGCGCACCTTTAATCTTGGCATCGGCAGCTTCCTTCCCGCTACCGACGTCAACGATGGAGAATAGTGGGGAAGATTGATTGAACCCGAGGACGAAGGCCTCATATTGCTCGGCTGTACAGATATGATGATTCACGAGTGTCTCCAGTAGACCGTTCTTGTTGCAGTAAATGGTCAACCAAAGTTGGCTTCGACCCGCAGTAGTGTCATCGTCGTTAGACATGTAGTCCATTATGCCCTTGGTGAGGGACATAGCAGCCTGACGACCGCCCGATTGCCCCTTCGTCAAGAGGTCCTGAGAGAATATATGACCGTCTCCATCAATCAAACAGATAACTAGAGGGTTATCATCCTAATCGTGTGTTCGGGCCATTAGTCGCACAGGTTCAGTGTGCAAGAGCAGGATCACTAACTTTAAAAGAACCAATACTGCGTTCAAGTTTGGATATTGATCGCTTCATTGCACTTCTCTCCTCGTCGGCAGTCTTATGAGCAAGCTTCCATACTGATACTTCGCGCTCGAGCTCCTTGACTCGTGCATTCAGTTCCGCATTTTCATTTATCGTCTTACGGAACAGAGCTAGCAGTAAGAGTCAGCCTAACCGAACACCACAAGATCCTTAAGAACGTCGTACCTGTTTGCTCTCCAATAAGTCGTTCCCTGCAGGGCAAAGTTTCGATCCCTATACAATTAGGCACGGATCACAAATGTACGCACCACAATTCACTTTCGACATTCTCCTCCTCCATGGCCAACGAGGCCGGGCAGAGACTCGACTCCCGCCGGGAACGCAAGTAAAAGAGTAGACAGAACAGATGTCGATCAGCGACTCTAAGCCACCATGTTTTGGACTGTGGGTAAGTACGTGCCCGGGCCCTGCGGCCCGCAATCCATTTCCTCTCACTGCACCCTTTACGTGAACACCATGTTGAACGTATTAAAATCCCGATATCTCGCGAGTAATTTACAAGGCGTATCCTAAAAGAATGTAGTCCGAGTTATACAATGCACGACCTCGAAAAGCGCCTGACAATTGAGCCCAGAAGTTTAGCTGAATGATGCGAGTCTGCCACAACAATAGACAGGTAAGGTATGCAAGGTTTACTTGATCCTTTTGAGCTGCAAGGGGAGCGTCAGGGTATGCAGAGTGTATATCAAGGACATGACGCACCCTCTCCGTGGTGGAGAACACCTTGTTGTCCAGGTTGACCGTCTTCTCTTCGATGCGCCCGATCCTGCCAACCTGACTGTCCAACTCTTGTCCCATAGCCATACCCAGTGCTTTCAAGCGTTTGGTGGCATCGGCGATCTCATCAAGGTTGTCGTCCAATTCGTTCTCCATCTCATCGTCAGACTCAGTGGCCTCGAATTGGTAGCGCTTTCGCTGCTCCTTCCTGAGGGCCTGTTGCTCAGCGGTCTTGAATCTTGACCTTACACCGCCGCCGCCGATGCCTTCCTCATCTTCCTCCTGCGCTCCATAAGTCTGCGCTCTCCCGAGACGATTCTGAGTCTCCCTTATATCCATCATAGCCTTCTCACGTTCCTCGCGCTCTTCTTCGTACCGTTGCTGTAACTTTGCCTCTTGTGCGGCACGTTTGGCGTCCTTGTTGAAGGTGATGACAGGGCGGAAGATGGAACGGTTTAGCTGCTTCAATTCATCGGTCTTGTCTTGAGCTCGGTTGGTGTGCCCCTTCGAGACATCGAGATGACGCTCAGTGTTAGCGAGCTTCTCTGTGGAAGGAAAATTAAGTAGCGTTGACGGAGCGATCATCGAACCACATACCAGACTGGTCACCCAGCTTAGCGACAGTGTTCCTGGCCGTTTCCTCTGCCTCACGAGCCATCCGGAGAGCATTCCGAGTGGAATTGACGCTCTCCTGCTTAGTGTATCTTATCTGTTGCTTGATCCCCTCAACCTCTTCGTCCTCGTTCTCGCCGGGTTCGGCAGGAGCATCATCGAAGAATCTACCAGAACCACCCTTCTGAGGGTTGTAGCCAGCAAAGAGCTCTTGACGATCCCTATCCACGTTTCCCTGGCCCCGAGAGTAAGAGTCGCCCGCTGGGGTGCTCCTAGTGTAGCGGGAAGAAGACTCTACGTCTGTCTGTGACCCAGTCCTGCTGGGTGCTTTGTAGCCGTTGTAGGGATCACCATCTCTACTGGCGACATAGGTGCTGGCAGTCGAGCGGTACGACGGGGGTGGACGGGGTGATGTGCTGTTCCCCCTAGAACCAGAACCCAGGAGCTCATTACGCGCCGCACCGGGAGGTTCAACCGGAGGAATGAGGTTCTTTTCTTTGCGCCTCAGGAAAGACATTGTGAACGAGGACGTAGAGTGACAGTCGGGGGAGAGATGGCTGTTGTGCTGCGTTACCGGCTTCGATTATGAGGGCCTCTTAAGGCAGTAGTTTGCCACGTGCTCAGCATACGCCCGATCATGGATTCGAGCCCGAGGGCATTGAATAAGGCGGTAGGGCCGTGCGAGCGGCAGAGCCCGCTACCGTAGACATAGATAAGATTTGGTAGCAAGCTGAAAACTTGACATCCTGAGCAGCATCATATACTAATATATTTATTTTGCGAAAGCAGTTGTGTTCCAGCCATGATTTCCGACTGAGCATTCACCTCAACGATTTGAAGAGATGTCCACTCACTCCTCCCTCAGGTTCTGAGTATACAAGACATTTATGTAAAACAGCTGACATTGAAGTATGCTGCTTTCACCTGGAGACCGCATCTCCAACGCCCCAAGCTAGGTCATGTCTGTTCTCTTGAGTCCCTTGACCAGCATCCGCCACCTTGGCTAAAGATGGAAAGAGAGATGCCACGTGGTTCTACAATCGGGGTCCTTTGAGGACCCCATCTTTGATTGGTCCAAAGCCGTGTGCCGGTCCTGCCGTCCGCCATATAC